AGCTGGGAGCAAGTTAACGAGGAAAGTCTCAATGAAGCTTGTTACGTTTCCAAACGCTCTGACAGCCACGTGATTCTGCCATCATGGTGATTCCACAGGACAGGACAGAGCTGTCCCGGGGGTTTTCTGAGGCTGTAAAGATCTACAGAAGCTGACTGTGAAAGATGACCTTTTCCCCACATAGTGACGGAGTTTCAAACTGACATTTATTTATTTTTTTAAATATCTATCTAACACTCAGCCTACTATACTAACTGTCCTCATTGGTGAGGTTCATTAGAGGAGGGAAAAGAAAAACCAAAGCCACAAACAAATGAAAACCAAATCCATTGGATTCAAGTCAATTCTCACTCAGAGTGATGAGTGTATTACAAAGCAGAACTGCTCGCTCAAGTGTTCTGGATTGTTGTTGTTGTCAAGTGCCGAGAAGTTGGCTCCAACTCACAGCTACTCTGTTCCAATAAGCAAAACCCTCCCTGGTCCAGTGCCACCCTCACAATGTCTGTGTTTAAGCCCCCTGCTGTAGTCACTATGTTAATCCAGCTCACCGAGGACCTTCCTCTTCTGATGACCCTCTGCTTTTCAAAGCATGATATTCTTCTGCAAGAACCTGCCCTCCTGATAACATGCCTGAAGTATGTGAGGTGAAAGCTCTCCATCCTCGCTTCTAAGGAGCACTCTGGCTGCCATTCCAAGACGGACTCACCTGTTCCTTCGGCAGTACATGGGATATGCAATACTCTTCCCCAACAACACAGTTCAAAGGCTTCAATTCTCCATTGATCATCTTTATTCACTTCCAACTATCACATCCATAGAAGCAGTTGAAAACCCTCTGACCTGACTCAGGCCCTCCTTACTCTTTAAACTGGCATCCTAGCTCTTTAGTACTTTAAAGAAGTCTTCTGCAATGTATTTGCCTATTGCAATCAATTTGACTTGTTGACTGATCCTTCCAGAAGTATTTATTGTGAATCCAAGAAAAATGAAATCCTGGACAGGTTCAATCTTTTCTCCTCTAATCATGATATTGTTTACTAGGCCAGCTGTGAGACATTTTTGTTGTCTTTATGTAGAGGTGTAATATATACTGAAGGCATATACCTTTGTGCTTCACGAATTCAGTGCATCAACTTGTCCTGGTTTTGTTTTTTATTGTTTCAAGCTGGATTGTTATTTTTATGAAAGCAGATTTCCAGACCTTTCTTCTACAATGCTGTTGTGTGGGTCCAAACTGCCAGCTTTTATGTAGTGTTGCATTGTTATTTTGGTGGTAGTGGTGGTGGTTGCATGCCATCAAGATGGAACAGACTCCTAGCTGACTCTCTAGCAGGGAGTCAGAGATTGTGAGTCACACGGGAGGAAATTTCCCATCTTCCTCTAGAGGAGAGGCTGGGGGATTTAAACTTCCTGCCTTTGTGTTGGCAACACAACCCCTTACCCACTAAGTGTGTCTATTACCTGGCTTAAGGTTGCACCACTCATTGTAGAAATGGATAAAATATAGACTAGTACAGACAGATAAAGATAAGGGGCTGGATTTATGGAGGCCCTTAATTTTCTTCCTCATGTTTTCTTTTTTTTTTGGTCAAGGTCACTAAAAGGAATTTTACTATTACAACTAGAACCAAAACAAGCATAAATTGCTCATATTTTAAAAGTTCACTTTGTCCCTGAAATCTCTCTCCCTTTGGCTCTGTGAAAGAGTCTGGAGTTTTGCCATCAGCTAGACCTTCAACTTTAGACCTTGGTGAGCACTGTGTTAAGAGTCTAGTGATTCTAAGTTCATAATAATAATAATTTTTTAAAAAAATGACTGGGGAGCTCTGGTGGCCTAGTGGCGAGAAGCTGCACTGCAATACTTAAGTAGCACAGCTCGATTCCACCAGATGCTCAACTGGAGAAGGAGGGGCAATCTCCCCCTGTCTGATCTGGTTTGAGGGTACACAACAAAGAGGAGAACAAAGTGAGCTAGAGCGAAACTGTGCTCCTTTAGGCTTTCAATGATTCCTCAGTGGTAGAGTGTCAGGATTTCTTCTGGAGAAACCTTTAGATTGGCTTGAATTGACAGCCTTTTAGAAATAGCAGCTGAGCTTGGTAATCATTTGAACCACTCTGAGACTCCTTAGAAAAGCCATTTACTCTCAAAGGGCCAAAATATGTTTGTTTATAAAACAGGATTTGTTTATCAAATGGGAACCACTTCTTTGCTTACTACTGAAGCTGTCTTGAAGATCCAGTCTTCCTGAGAGCACCTTGTGCACTATAAACACCTCCAGGGAACTGAGCAAGAACTAAACACAGATGCTCTCACTGGGTTCCAGAAACTATCACTAATCTAAGCAGGGTCTAAATCATTGAAAGTTAATGGAGCCTGCCTGACAGGGACAATGTGTCTCTTCCCACCACATACTGTCAAAGCTGGCACTGACCTTTCCCAGGACCCTTCACTTCAGAGAAGAGAGAATAGTGAGAAACCCCTGTGCAAGTCCTCTGTTCAGAAATAGAGATTCCCTCTCCTGACCTCAGGACACAGTCTCAAGTGCTACGAAGGCTGGATCGCAAAGGAAATGAGGCTGCATCAGACTAGACACCTCCCCAACTAGAATTTCTAATCAAGCACAGCATCCCTGACGGGAATTTCTAAAGCAACAACATCCTTGACTGGAATCAGTCAACAGGACCCCTGACTGCAAGTACTCACCAATCGAAGGAGCTCTACATCCTCAGCCCTGACTGGAACCTTTGACCAGCCAACTGCTCCCCTGAAATAGACTGGGTTCTGGAGAAGAGTGGTGTAAGACCCAGAATCAGAATTCTCATTTCTTTTTTTTTGTTTTGTTTTTAGAATTCTCATTTCTGAGTCTCCAAGTATGCTTGGGCTACATCAGAACGTCACCTCCGCTGTGTCCCCTGCCTCAGTTTATGACAGACAGCTGGAGCTCTGTGCTCAGCAAAAGGCTCTCCTCACTCGCTTTTTAAATTTATTTTAGAAATGTTAAAATTCCTAATAGTCACAGATTCGTTAACAGTGATTACAATCATTTTTGGAACATTTTCATCAGGCTCAAAAGAAACTCATTGGCAGTCTCTCTCCATTTTCTTGCAGTTCCTCAGGAGGCAAAAGTTTGCTTTCTTATATCTATGAGTTGCCGACTCTGGACTTTTCACATTAATAGAATAACAAAACATACTTTGCTATTTGCTTGGCTCCTTGCCCTTGGTGTGTTATTTAAGGATTTTTTTTTCTTTTTTATTTCTTGTATTTTTTTTTTTTTATTTTACACTGTACCTATAAAGTTCATAGACATTGTCCCTCACACTGGATTCCCCCACCTCCCCAACCCACCCCCCTCCACCCAATCAAATGTTATGTTAAGTAAACTAACTCAGTCTTATAAGGACAAATATGGTATAATACCATTATTGTACAAATAGAAAGATAAATAGTAAAATTTATATGAGGAGAGGGGGTAAACGGGGAGGGTGATGCAGGGGTCAAAGGCGCTTCTCACTTTCAGTGAACAACCACTTCCTTTTCACGTTGTCTCTGCTTATAAAAATTTGTCGCCTTTCTGATGCCTCTAAGTTGAACTCATTCTTCATTACTTCTTTTCTACGTAATGCTACCTGTTAAGTGACAATTCACCTGTTCTTTAGCGAGCTGCCTACCGAGCAAGGCTGGGGTGAGGTCTCCACGGCCACCCCTCTGCTAATACAAGTGCCTTTGTTTTCTATTTCAGCACCTTTTAGTGTTCTGATCCCAACCTACCGCCTTCCAACACTCTTCTTCACACCAACACTCCAGCTGCCATTCCCGAAGCACTAGAAGCCTTTCACGGCAGAACCTTCCCATAAATTGTTCCTCAGCCCTACATTACCCTCCTTTTGCTTACTTGACTAATTTCTGCTCATGATTAAGGTCCAGCTCCCGTGGTATACCACTTCCTACTGCCCCTGACCCCTGGCGGACTTACTACTACTCCCAAATGCTCCCAAAGAATCTAATTTAATGTTCTGTGATTGGATACAGTCTGACATTCATAGTGTGTGTGTGTGTGTGTGTGTGTGTGTGTGTGTGTGTGTGTGTGTGTTTAAAGCTGAAATGCCAAACATGCTGCCTTTGAATTGTTTCCAACTCATGGGAACTCTGCACAAGGTGGACTCAACTCCACTGAGTTTTCAAGGCTCTCAGAATCAAGTAGCCAAGCCTTTCTTCTGATGCACTCTGGGCTTGGTTAAACAGCCAGTCTTACAGTTAAAAGCCGCTCAGTGAGCCATACCATTCGATGACTATCTAGCTTTCTATCTATGTATACTGTCTGTCTATCTATTTATACTGTACGTCATTTCTGGACTATGATTTCTGTTTGCTGCAATTATAATCATAAACATAAAAATGACATAAACATAAAAAAGTGTCTTATAACTTTGGCATCCACTGCCCTGGCAAACAATAGCCACTGGATAAAGATTTGTTGAACAAGAAATGAAGACACCATCACAAGAACATGCAAACAGCCCAGATGTTGAACCACAATTGAATGGACTGAGAAATTATGGTTTATTCACACTATGGAATACTACAGAACACACTGGAGCAGTGACTGTGTAAATTATTCCCTAGCTGGGAGGGACTGGAGAGCATTATGCTGAGTGAACTAACTCAGTCCCACAAGGACAAATATTGTGTAAAATCATTATTGTAGAATGGATATGAGAATCCAAGGGGGGTGAGGGGTGAAAGCAGAGGAATGAGGATATGTGGGGGTCAGGAGGGCAGGAATTAATCCTGAGGTTGTACAATTTGATGGGTGGGGGATGAAGGAAATTGGAAGAATCTGGTCTGAAAAACAATGTATTTGAATTTTGTAAATAAACTAGTATAATTTTTTTAAAAAAGACATGAAGGCAGACTGTTGAAAGGATCAGACAAGAAAGGGGTCAGGTAGGAGAGAGGAGAGACAGAAAGGCTCCCATGCTAAGGGGCCTGGACTCACCGGGTGGTCTGCATCCAGTTCCGCCCCATAGCTGAGAATCTGATTGGCAAATCTGTCGAGCTCTTGAATGCTTCTTGGGAACCAGGGCACTGTAACACAGAAAAGGCAGACTCCTGAGAGAGAGAGAGAGAGATGGCAGGGCTTGGTGAATGCCGTGCTGAGGTCAGCAGCAGGGAATCAGCACTGCTTGAGCTCGTGGTGCAAGAAGGACCCTAGATAAACCCCAAGTTGCAATAATTCAAACACACATTCCACTTGTCCCTAATTTAGAGAAAATGTGATGTTAAACATAGTACTGTTGCTGGAGGTTTTTCTCCAAAGGATACCAACATTATGCTCCCTCTCACTCATCATGGTGTAAAATCTATTGCCACTAAGTCAGTTCTGACTCATGGTGGCTCTCAAGGATGGAGTGGTGAAGCCCACAAAGAGTTGAGCTGTGAGGTCAATGGTAGTGCCTCAGAGAAGCATGGGTAATCTACTCCCCTCCAAATTTATAGCTCCCCAAAACCTGCTGGAGAGTTAGCTGTCAATCGTTCCCACACCTTATCAGTCAAAACATCGGATAGGCAACTTGTTCTGTGAGAGGACAGAGTGGAAGTGAATCCAGGGCTTTCAAAGCCAAAATGTCCCCTAACACAGAACGCCACTGCTCTCTCCTGCTATGCAGCTGTGGGGATGGGGCCAAGGGG